CTGTTAGCAACGAATTAACGAGCATTCGCGCTGTGTTACGTCAGCACGAGTGGACACTGCGGCATCGTGCGACACTGGATGTTAATAGCAATGTAAATATCAGCCTACCCTATGCGATAACACGCACGCGGTCTGGGGACGCGCTGTGCGATAATACGACCGACTCCACTATGTAAATCTCTTATTGCCTCTACTGCTTTCGCGCCTTTTAATCTGAACTTGATTCCACGCAACGAATTTGTCGTCTTCTATATATCTATTTAGCTTGAAAATTCTTCGATACATTATATCGATAATTCATACGTTTCGGCAAAAATTTGCAAGAGATCGATCTTTGACTTAATAATCGACATAGTTGATAATTTTTTAATTATATGTCTCTTTCTGCGCTGGACGATCCTTTGGACTTGAAATCGATGTTCTCTTTCTTCTTCAATTTACATATGATTTTTGATACAATCCTGTATTACATCGTAAATGTACGCACGCGCGTGTGTACATCAGTATCGCAACACGGTCTGCGCGAACCATGGTAAAATCGCAATCTCGGCGAATTTGTAATTCAAATCGGCGCGATACGAGATAAATTACTGACCCATCCTTCTCCCGGTTCCTTCTAAGGGAAGGAGCGCGTCCATCTATCTGATATCCTAGCGCACGAATAAACCACCCACCCTGTCTGTACAATATTCCTATTCCGCAGAGCTAATTTCCCAATTAAAGCCGAGTTGCTGGCCGATCTCGCTTTTGCAACGACACGTTACTAGTTTGTCGTTCGCGAAATAATTCATTATTACGATAACGGAATAATCTTTGCATGCACGTGAATATAGGCTTAATAAACATCAATTAAAGTTAACCAATTAACCTGACTTAATGGAGTCTAATCTGACCTAACCGAGTCTAATCTATGAAATTTAACTGATTCTTTTTTTGTCAGCTGGAGAATCTAAAAAAAAAAAAAAAAGAAACATTTTATATTTGACTCCGCATGTTTCCATGTTTTTCAATTTCAGTTTACAGTTTTTATCTTCACGCATTGCAGTCATTTTGTTATCTTTTTTTTTTTTTTGCTTTTAAATTTGCTAGAACTTGCAGACCATTAATCGACGCGATATACCAACATTTGCGCAAAAAGCGAATTTCCACCTCGGGAGACGTAGAATATTAAAATAAAGTGTCACGCATTTAACCGGCATGGTAATTAAACATACACAATGTACCATAATAGAATTCCCTGTCGTTCGTTTGGAATATTGCGGGATGACGAGTAAATTGTAGGACGCGCCCCACGCAAATATAAAATTGCTGATTGAAACGCGCAAACTCGAAACTGCTCGAAACACGGACGTGTATGTATATGAAAACATTTTAACGTCCCTTACAAAATTATCCGGACGCGTTGAACGACGATTAATATTTTACAAAAATTTCACTTGCTTTACTCATCTTCTTGTTATTAAAAAAAAAAATGAAAACAAGCATACGTAGTATTATGATACACGTCGAAGATTACTGCTGCATTTATTATGTATATTTAATGTTTGCGTAATAGCTTTTTGTGTTTTACATTACACTCTACAGAGTATCGTATTTCGATTACTCTTGATAACACGATTTTGGACAATAACCATACATGAAATTTCGCAACGGCTTCTATCGGTCTATCACTTTACTGGCAATGAGTATCATTAATATTCATTTTGACGTTCTTTGGTTGCTGTAACAATAAACCCTAATAACATCATCCATTTAATGCGCGTGTAATTTTTTTTTGGATACTGATGCGCGGGAGACACGAGAATATATTACAATTAAACGAGAAAAAAAATGCCCTTTCTCGTAAAAATTGATAGAAAAATTCTTTCTCTTTCACACATATCAGAGACACAATAATTTACAACGCAATAAATACTTTTCAAAGTGGCGGGAAATATTATTCGTTATTATTTATGTCATTATTTAACATAAACGTCGCGTGGAAATCAAGGACTTTATTTATGCTAAACGTTTACCCCGGGAGAGGATCGTGGGGAGACAGAAATTTGTTCTCCCGCGGAAATTCGTTCCCGGGGCAAAGCAAGAAATCTCTAATGTTGAAACTCGCAAACAATTTTCACGTTCGCTACGAAGAAGCGGCGGTAAATTCCGGAGGCGGATAGCGGGTGTATGGGAATCCAAGGCGGATCGATGTCGGATAAAAACAACGGATCACAGAAGTGCAGCGAACTCGCGCGAGCTCCGGAGAGAGTGGAGAGCTCATAAATAAAAGATATTGCCAGGGTTTTGAGAGAAGGGAGGACAATTATTCTCGGATAGAACGACGTGCTTCTTGTGTCATCGAATACATTACCGACACACACACACGGTGTGTGTGTGTGTGTGCGCGCGCGCGCGCGCGCGTGTGTCTACATCGCGCACGATGTACGATGCTTATATCTCGCCTCGCGAGATTCCCGCTTAACCCGGAGGTCTCCGTCGTCCTACATAGCGTCTTTTTCTACTGCGCCGCGCCGGCAAAAAACGCGACGCGAGTCGAGGAGGGACGATACTACCGAACGAGTGCATATTGCGCTGGAATTATTCTATGCAAATCGCATTATTCCCGCCTCACCGCATTACAACCGACCGTAATGTATTCCGGGAAGGGATTTATGCGGCTTTGCCGGAATAATACCTGACTTAACACGTTACTAAGGAGAGAATCGGACGCGAATATGGACGAGATCGGGTTGTTCTTATAATTAGTCCTCTAATTACGTAGAGATTCGAACGTATATTGTAATATACTCGTGTGATTGATATTAAACAATGACCGTGAATTTTAATATGAACCATATGTGAATGCTATTTATTGAAAAATCGATACGAACGAAAAATTATATATATCGTGCAATACATAGAGCTTGAAATAAGATGTACAGATGTGTATGTATATTCATTGGCACTATTGTCGGATAAAACTCTGTGCAATTTATATACGAGCTAACTAGATTAACTGGCTGAAATATAATCTTCTTTACGGCTCGGGGAGCTTAACGATCCGCTGTGTATTCGATAATGGCGATACCGGTGCCATTAAAAGACGCTTGTCTGCCGGCCGTAAATTTACATAAAATGATTGGAAATCTCCGACGAGAAAGAATGCTCGTTACTCGGTACAACTTATCGTGCGCGTGTGTCAAATTTCTTCCGTCAATCTAATGTACGATACTCGCGATTACGCTGCAAGTTAGGTGCGCACGATATTGTAAACACGCTGATACTTCACCAGGAGTTAACGTCGCGGACACGTACCGCGGCGATAAATTACAACGTAGATTAGAATAGTTAATGCCAGAATCCCCTCTCGAACGTACACCTCTACCTAGTAAATCTTGCAATAGTGTTGTAAACTGATAGGACCAGATGTGCGGGAAAAGGGAAGAAACATATTCCAGACAGAGTCGCGTCTCTATATAATACCATTAACAATACGTCAAATTCAAAATGGAGAGAATGATCCTGAAAAATATATCTTGCGGTCGGTAGAAAATATTTTTCTTCGCTCGGAAATACCATATTTATCATTTCGCCGTATATGAATGAGAGGATTTACATAAAAAAAAAAATGCCATTTTTGGTGGAGCGATTCATCCGAACGTGAAAAATTATATACATCCGAAATGGGGACCCGCCAAAATTTCCCATCCTCGTGACATAAGTGATTTTTCTTCTTCACGCTTTTCTGCTTTCCGATCTCTCTTGTTCAGGCGCGATACATACATATATATATATATATATCTTGATTTCTGGGTTAGGTGTCAAAGTTTCGGCGAATGAGCCGGGATTCGCTCGAAATTGCTGTCTCTGACGCGCGCGCGCGAAATCTTAACGTGAACCTGTCGACAGTCGATTACTGGCGGGTGCTGAAATCAGCCTAAATGTCGGCTGGAGGGATTCAAGGGGGTGTAAGAGGGAGGCGACGGTGTGGCCTCCTGTGCGAAGGACGATGGATGCTTTCCTCGACGGTGGTGGCGGTTTACCAGTTGAAGGCGCCAGGACCAGGACCGGAATTTTCGAACAAAAGAGCGGTGGTCCTGATTTAGTGGCGTGCATAATTTCGTCCTGGTCATAAATTAATATTTCCACCCCTTTTGTCCATTCGTCGACCTGTGCCCGCGGTCGCGGAAGAAAAGGATCTTGATGAATGAAAATCCTTTTACAAATTCCGGTGATATATATACGAGCGTGCCGTAATTTTGTCAACAGCCTGAATTTACGCGTTTGTACGACACTTTGTACCCATACTTTGAACGCGCGAAATTTGTCGCGCCGGTTATTCGCGTATAAATTATACCGAAATGATGATTATAGCCAGAAAGGTAATTGAGTATCGTTAATTGATCGATAGCGCGTAAAAATTGAGGTAAATATAACTAGTAATTTTAATTGTAAAGTATCTTTCTTGATTTATTCATAGTATTCGCAGGATATTATTAACGTTCGTGAAATGCAAATAATATTCTTCTACTATGCTTCATTACTTTTTGTATTAACCGAATAAATTAAAATTTTTGCATAATTTGGTGTAAAATAGATATTTATCATATAAAAATTAAATAAAATGCATGCCACTTTATGTCGAGTTATTTTCTTTGTCTGGCCATTTTTGCACTTAACGATATTATATATAATATAATAATAATTGTGTTTATTATAATTGTGTTTATACCTTTATGAATTACAACTAGAGAATCACAATCAAAATAAATATCCTTTTTTGCCAATTCTAGCTTTGGAGAGAATTTCATTTATTATTTCAATGATTATATGCTGCTTTAATAATATTAGCAAATGAAAATAATTTCTATATATATATAATAATTAACGTTAATTTGTATCAATTACAATACCTGAAAGCATTTGGATTATCCAATAATTATCATTTATTTAACATAGTTAATTGTCTTGTGTAATATTCATTGCATTTATTAATATTTTCCATGTTTCTATTGCAGATTCTGGATTAATACGCCGCATTACGCTGCACGCTTCCTATAAGGTAAGATTTTTGAACTCTGCAAAAATTGATTTAAATTTAACGCAATAGAACAAAATAAAGGCAAACAAATACGACGTTAAAAAAAATATCCGCAATCGTTTCAAATGAAAAAGCGGGAATCGAGAATTTAAGGACGATGGGACTGTATCGCGGGACGATATATTGCAATGTAAAGCTACGAACGTTAAAATTAAACAGTCCATTAACAGCTTCGGAGCGTTTCCATCAATTTAGGCTCGGCCTCTTTTTTATTCGAAACGGACGCCAAACCCGGGCGTACTCGCGGAAATTCAAATGTATGCCGGTGAATATATATATACGCGAATGTATGTCTCCATACGTATACGCGAAGCTTATCTATGGATTAAGACTTAAGCCTCGAATGGGAAAAAAAGATCTCATCGATCGACTATTCGGTCGACGTCGAATGCGCGTGAATTAAACGACTTCGATTCGTTGCGAGCGCGCAAACGTAAAAGCATAAGATAATTAATCATTCAAAAGTTTGCGATTCGCGAAATCCGCAAATGTTTCATTACGATTATTATAAAAGTATTATCAATAACGATAATTACAGACTCTACTTTCTCGTAATCGTTAATGAGAATAATAAGTATTGCGCGATAACCAATCTTTTAAAAGATAATTTTGCTATAGTAAAAAAATTGATGAAAAAATAGAAATACATTTTTCTCTGTTTCCCTGGAATTTAATAACCCAAAAAGTTGCAAATGCATATGCGTAATATGCGGCAAATTCAGCATTTCTGCAATTTCTGTGCACGAATTACAGAAGAATTTTGTCGAATATTGTTTCTGCATTATTTGTTCATCAACGAGAGTGCACGCGATTTTCTAAATTCTGATCATGTATATGTATATAATTTTTTTTTATATGGAAGACAGCGATATATTTTACGCGATCGTGATAAATAGCTGCATCGCGGCGCGAAAAGTTTAGTTTTATACAATCCTGGGAAAATTGCTCGACGTGAAATATCGGTGTCAAATAAATGGAATATTCTGTGTGCCGTTTGATACGTTCGAAATTGGAGATAATAAAAGGTAGAGATGATGCACGTTTGCGAAAACGTTGTGCGATCAACATTAATTGGATCGGCCCCCGGGTTGCATTTATGATAACGCGAGTCTGCGTTTAATCCATAATTGACGTGATAATCGACGGTGTGTGGTTGTGACAGAATTCTCTGTTGCAGTAACCGATTATCAAAAATATTGCATCTCGCGCACATAACTCTGCGATAACAAAATCGATCGCAGACGCTGTTCGAGACTATAATTTAGGAAATCTAATTAAAAATTTAAATTTATATATTATCGCCCATAAAGTTCCTTGATCGATATCGTAAACGTTGCATAGACCTGGAATGGCCGCAGAGACACATTAATTGCATCGTGAGATTTAGCGCGATTCTTTCGCTTTTGCGAACATGAAGGCGTCAGGGAATTTATTTGCAGATTTTGCGGACAGTTGGTGGAAAGCAGCGGATGACGCACAAACTCGTTTAACCAATATTACAACTTTGTACGTACAGGCAGCTAGTTGCGCGGTCGACTGAATCCGCATCATGAAAATATTATGTGACATTTGAGCCGCATTTGCATAACGTGTTCAAGTTAGTCCTGAGGATCAGCAATTTTCGCATTAATCGATCGAAAAATTACTTTGTAGTTTGTAGCCATCCATTAATTTAATTCACGTCAGATTAAAACGCGCTTTTATCAAAATGTTGAGAATATTTAGAAAGGTCTTCCGTTATAATTAAAAAAAAGGTTTTCCTTTCTCTTAAAAAAATAATATAACAAAATCAATTCGTGCGATTGTCGATTGAGTATTACGAAAATACAATTTTTTTCCAGTATGCCGGTGCATTGAGGATAGTGTCGCGAAATATTTAAAATTCGATAAAGATTGTTCTTAAATTTCGAAATTCCTCCTTTCAAATTCCATCAAAGGTCTCGTTTAGCGGAAATGTCTGTTTTCTCTTTCTTTCTTCTCTTTCCTTTCTTGTCGCACTAGAGGCGCATTTGGTACGAGCCGTCACGTTCGTCGCGGTGGCAATTTGTCGGGCGACAGAACGTCAGGTCGGGCGACTGAAATTTTTAATTCCTTACGAGGCGAGGTAGAGCGAGAAAAAACGCTGGTTCATTTGTTCTACGACAATTATGTCCCGCGCGAGAGTAAGACGCCGAGACATAAAAAGCGAGGGCTAAGAGAGGAAAAGAAGCCAGCTTCTCGTCGCTGGTGACCAAGTGTCGCTAAAAATATGACTCTATAAGTAGGTCTTTTATCATTCGCTGTATACATCTCGATGTTACGTCTGAATTACTAAAGCAAAAAAAAAAAACCAAAGTCTACATTAACTCTCACGAGTTGACAGCGAATTCGAATTATAAAGATTTGTCGAAAAAGTTATCGTCATTTATGCGATAACTTTTCTCATTATATATTTGCCGTAAGTATAATCTTGAAATTCTCTCTCGTTACACACAATTGTATGATCCAATTAGATGATTCACGTATTCCGCGATTAACGCGCGAGACGAGTATTCGAGACACGTGCGAAACTTCATTAGTGTATGTAATCAGAAGCTACTTTATGACAGCTAAAGTTCTACTTGTTGTCACGCTTTCCCGCAGCTGTTATTTCGTTTCGCGTAGGTGTCGCTGGTTATACTCGTGGCGTGTAGCGCTGTTATATCATATTCCTATGTATAGGAATGCAATTCTCCCGCTTTTTCCTCCCTCCGTGATTGTCGGCGCCCATTTATATCGCTCGGAGTCGGATCGCGCGAGTTGTCGAAGCGTCGCTGACGCGAATGTATACGGAAACCATCCGTGGTTCCCGTAATTCGCTTTCGTCGCCCGTCAGTTCCATGCAATGCCTGCCTGCAGCTGCGGACTACGCATTGACTTTGTCCCTACAGTTTCTGTTCCCCTTTTCGCGTTGAGTAATCGCTAAGTCAGACTTGCTAATTCAGACATGGTTCCTATGAGAAATCATTCGATCATGACAAAGAATTTTAAATGGCCGCATCGATATTTCATTTCTCTGACCAATTCTGACAATAAATTAATCTTTTCTCGACACAAAATTCGGAAAATTGGATGCACTCCTTTCTTGGGAAAAATGTATTTTATATATTTATATGTATAAGATATACATATAAAAATTAATTTTTCCTGAGAAAAAAACGCATCCAATTTTTTGAATATTTGCATCAAGGGAACACCATATATATGTATAATATATGTATACTAGCAAACAGTTCTACAGGAAAAGAAATAAGAAAATCAATATTCGAAATGTTAGCAAATGTGTGCATTCAAATAATAGTTATTTAAAACACTTTTTGTGAAAATAAACAAATACAAATTGCTCGAATACAACTTCGAAATATATATTACATAAATCGAATTCATATTTGAACTTTCTTTTATTGCTTTTTTATTGTGCAAAATTCATTCCTGAAATTGATCATTGTATACAAATCATCATGTGTATAATTTAATTTCATAAATACATAAAACTTCCAAATATTTATACTTATTTATTAATGTTCTAAAAAAATTTTTTTTATAAAAATTGATTAACGTATTCGAGGTTTATGAAAACAGTAGCATAACGAGCATGGCATTTATTTGTCTTTATTGTACGGAGCTTGCTTAGCACAATGTACACATCTCGTGCTCTCTCTCTCCGTTTTTCGTCAAAGATGTACGAATATAATTATCAAACAAACTTACGCCGTGCTCTGTGCGAAGAAGGCGTTAGGTAGGATACAGTAAAGCATGCAGTTTCGCAAAGCTGATGCGAATGTTGATGACACAACTGCCGGAACACCTTCTTCGTTCACGGTTGACGCGAGTTTCCGCTCGTCGAGTTCCTCTCAAAAGAAGACAAACTGCCTCGTCTCTGGCACATTGTCGATTTTCCCAGGGTGACACTCCGTATCGATTGTCTTGATGTTCCGTGAAAAATGAAATTTACAACGAGGTGATACCGTCTTTTTTGAGAGTTGTTGCCTCAGTCTTTTAAGAAGTTCTCCGATATCAAGCTCTTGATCTCTTGGAGAAACTCCTTTAGCCAACTCGATATGTTGTCACGTACGAACGTAATTATCGAACAAACTTAAGTCGTTGTATTAACTTGAGCCATTTCAAGGGCTGGGAACTGCTAATGGGAATGTCATTAACATTGCACTCATCGACCCGTAAATTTGTAAAAACTTTGGCGAATGGTGATACGATCGCGAAAACAAGCGCAATGTAATCCGTTTAAAAACTGCGACAGCGTAACGCAGTGTTCGCATAAAACTGTTAAATACTACATAACATCGGTAACAAAGCGACTGATAATCTTTTAAATAAAAAATGTTATTTTCCTTTTAAGAATTTCCTTTTTAGAATATCCTGTAGATCTGTAGTCTCTAGGTGAAAGTAATCTTCTAAATAAGCTATTTCTCATAATCTATAGATGAAAAGATGGGACTTTCACATAAAAATATTGTACTTTTTACTTTCACGTACTTTTTACTGTACGTTTTTATATTTGTTACTTTTATATTATATATTTTTTATTACAATTTAAACTAAAATTTTTATTACAATAACAATTTTAATTTTATAAAGTATAACTAAAAGATACATATAAATTTTCATCTGCTTTTGTTCTCTGAAAATTATAAAATAAAACAAGATTTTAATATTCTAGAACCATTTCATAGTTAGTGCATGTCGAATTTATAAATTTAGTATCGAGCATGACACGCGAGATTTAGATCCTACATTAGATTACGTTATACCTACTTATGTAGACACTTCTCTTAAATCGTTCTTTTTTAAGCCATTTATTCATTTAGCCATTCTTTAGCCAATCATGTATATCCGTTGTTGTTTCTTAGTTTTAGAAGATGTTCCTCTTAAGAAACACCTAAGAATATCTGTTAAGAAAAATTTTATAGTATATAATAGCTCTT